GGTTCAACAGGGTAAGGATAACCTTGGTACAATTTGAGAAAGTCAAAGGGGTAAATCATATCCCTGTAAAATCTGGTAATAAACGGATCTCCTCTGATCTTGCACAAGCGGATCTCCTCTGATCCCGCAAATGAACTGAGGGAGAGCAACTATAAAAAGAGGATCCTACCAGTCAATAAAGGTACGTCAAAAAATGATTATTAAATCCCTGCTTTTCTTTTAGACCTCTGGTGACTAACTTGATCGTCGGAGAGCTCTTGGCAGGCACCACACCGGTGCCGTCAAGATTCATCGATCTTCTGCTCTCTTCTTTGCATGAAAACAGTGTCGTATCGGACCGCGTGAATTTTTCCCCCAACAACTTAATCCCTATACAGAAAGCTTAGACATCAGAAGAGACTAGAGTTATGAAATGTAACTTTGTGTTAGAACTCGACAGAAGTAAGAAATCAGATCTGCTGACAAGAAATCGAAGCTGATCCGAAGGTATTAGCCATTCATGATTGCCTATTTCAAGGAGGGAGTTGGTGTTGATGGTGAGGCAGAAGAAGATATCAGATGGGGCCAGTGATGTAGAGGAAGATCCAGATGAGATAGAGATGATGAAGCAATTGGGGATTCGAATTTCTCACTCTAGATCGGCAGAAAATGACATATGTGGAGCTTTGGTGGTGTTTTGATAGGGATTGCTTGTTATGTAAATGACAAGTTTATCTATTTATTTTTATATAATTTACACTCTTATCTTTAATGCGGGTTGTTATGCGGGTTATACTGGTTAAGCAGATTTGACACAAACCCAACATGATTTTTTCTTATCTTAAACAATTTAATAATAAAGTACTCGTGTTTGGACACATATCCCTCTGACGTGGGTATGGGATATTATCATATATGTGACACTTTTGATTGGACATGTACTTAAAAAGCATATCTAATTATTTAATTAGATTATATTATTACTTTAAAATAAGTTAAATGCCTATATTGAACATTATATTAGATAAAAACATTACTTTACTTTAGAAAATAAAATAAAAATTAATAAAATGAATATTTAGCCGTGTCCGTGTGTTCTTCTATTTGGAGATTTAATACATCCGACGCATGGATACATACAAGTGTCCGAGACCCGTACCCGAGTCCATGTAACATAACTTTCTACCCTCACCCCTTCATGAAGTACCCAACGTTATCACTGCAACCTCTACCATCACCACCCACCATCCCCATAGTAATAACCATATATTTGTTTTTACTTTCAACTGGGCTCAATCAAACATATTATACACACACACACACACACAACTACACCATTGTTGTTTCGGGGCCAAGTCTGGCAGCATCTCGTGACAACAAGAGGTTCTGTGTTAAGGACTTTTTGTTGAGGATGAGAATGGATGGCATAAAAATTAAGAAACAAGCTTTAATTGGTTTTAATGAAGTTATGATGCTGATGAAAAGTATGGGAAAGTTGCTGTGGAAATTAGTAGTCTAGTTACCCTCTTTGTGAAAATTTCCCCATTTGCAAGTGACCCAGATTCAATCAAAGTCTACAAAGGGTTGTTTCGATCATTATCGAGTTTGCTTCGTACAGGAATGTGTTGATTAGGGCAGGGGGTATAATGGCATTCATTGATTGGGACTTAGAACATGGAAATGAATTTGGCAAATAATTCTCTGCGCACTTCGAGCCTACCCACCGCATCTCGTAGCGGTTCACCCTCATCGCAATCCAATCGTTGGCAGTGAGGTCATGAAGGAAGTTAGGGTAATTTGGTGGTTCTTCTAGGCACAAGTCCAGAAGAATCAGACAGAGCACTCTTTGTCGTCATCCAAGTGGCGTGATAAGGGGTGTAGAGTGGTGGTGGGGCGATGTGATAGAGTGTGGAGTGTTGGTGGTGGTGGTTGGTGTGGCGGAGCTGTGGAATGGTTGTGGTAGGTTTGGAAGGGCTATGAAGGTAAAAAGGTAAAGAAAGGCGTTGGTGGAGGTGGCAGTAGTGGTGGGGCAATGTGATGGGGTGTGGAGTGTTGGTGGTGGTGGTTGGTGTGGCAGAGCTGTGGAGTGGTGGTGGTAGGTGTGGAGGGGCTGTGAAGGTAAAATGGTAGAAAGGGAGAGGTGTTGGTGGATGTAGGAATATTGAGTAGCGGTATGGTGATGGCGGTTATGGTGGTGTGCCGCCAATGAAAGTAGCAACCACCCTCTTCTTCTCTCCCCCCCCCCCCCCCCCTCCCCCTCCCTCTCCCCCATTCTCTGTGTATATATATATATATATGTATGTATGTATATGTATAAGTGGAAGAGATGATATATATATATATATATATATATATATATATGTATTATGTGTAATGATGAAGATGTTAGTTTGGTTAATTAAAATTAGTTAGTGGGTAAATTAGTAATGTTAACATTTCAATTGGTCAATTGACAAGTCAAGAGGCATTCTAGTCATTTTATCATGTGTCAGAGTGCTTATGGGTGTGGTTGTCAAACGAAACAAACTTGAGGGGGTGTCAATGTTTTAAAAGGGGCTAACTTTCATTTAACTGTCAATAGGAAAAACATCAAGGAGTGTGGGGTGTAATTAACCCTAATAATATTATACGGTGCCATACTAGATACTAGAAAGAAGGGTTAAGTGCAAAAACCCCCCTCTACTATCGATATAGTGCAAAACGGTCCTTGTGTGGTAAAAAAAAAACCCTATACGATAAATTTGGCGCAAATAGGTCCCTGTGTGGTACAAAATGACGATAATTCCCTCACTTTAGTTCAATAAATTAATAACTCTAAATACAGGCCATGTAAAATGACCTTTTTATCCACTTATCAAAAAAGGAAAAAAAAATTAAAAAACTTACCTTCGGTTTGTACAACTGCCACCTATTAACCAAAGAAGCTCCAACACATACACGCACACACAGTCTCTCTTTATAAACATTCTCTCCTTCTTTCTCTAACATTGTCGGTTTTTTTTTTTTTTTTTTCCCCCCGTTATTTAACTTAATTTTTTTTCTATTTCTATATTATTCGAGGGTTTAATTCGTTGAACATCATAGAGCTCTGTATTGCTCTCTCTCTCTTTCTCTCTCTCTCTCCAGGTGCATATCAATGGGGTTTGTAGAGAGAGAAATAAAGTTGTAGCCTTTTTAGGTAGAGAGAGAAACCCAACTCGCCCAACGGCTAGATTTTGAGTGTAAGATCTCTTCTAGTTTCGAATTTTACAATGTGATTGTCTATTTGACTGCTGAATTTGAGAGAGAGGTCTAGAGAGAGACATTGTTTATTATTTTTGTAGTCCAATTATCAAAAAAAAGAAAAAAAAAATTATCATAATTGGACCGACGATATTTGAATTCATCGCATCGAAGAAATTCAACGTGGTGGAGTTGGTTAGGGTTTCAGGGATGGTCCATGGAGGAAGATTAGGGTTCATACTGATGCTTAATGTTTGTAGTCCAGGAAAACTTGTTCTAGGGATGCAAGGTTGGAGAAAAAGGGTAAGGGGCCAAAGAACTGGTTTCGTTGGAGAGATAAGGTTTTGAGGTGAAAGAGCTGGTCGAATCGGAGGGTAATTCGTCGGAGAGATATTTGGAGGAGAGGTTGATGTTGGAGACTCGGCCGGAGGAGTCACAGGAGACGCTGGTCCACTTGCAGTGGTTGGAGCCGGACCAGCCGGATGGCATTGGGGAGATGGATTTGCAAGCTTGGCCATGACGGCTGCTTCACCACCTTCGCCATCGGCCACCGTGGAGGGGTTGAAGAGAGAGAAAATTGTGTTTTAGTTGCTAGTATTGTCAGTCCAATGCCGGAGATATTCGGATCGTTCCCAAATCTGCAAACGGTTAGACTTGTATGGGTTATACCCGAATACATGGGCAATGCCCAATTCAATGCACATATGGGTGAGGGGCAAAATGGGAATCAAAAGGGTAAAATATGGATTTGATAACTATGCTCAAGTGGCTCTCCCCCTCTAAGATCAATTTGGAGAGTTGGCCCTAGGGATTTCATGATACCAAAATCTTCCTTTTCTTATTCCCTACAAAAAGAATGATGAAAGATTCACAGTAATTTCAAGAGAGGGAATTTGATTTTGGTCGGAAGAATTGGTTTTGGGTTTATAGAGGAGCTGGATCGGAAATCGTAGAAAGAGAGGAGTGATGGTGGTTGTGGAGGAGAAAGGCGGCAGTGGTGGTAATGAGGTGGATTTCCTCTGCCTCTCTGCAATTTGTTTGTGTTCTTTTGGAAAAACTGAAACTGGTTTGAGCCCCCTAGGATTGGCTAAAGATCCTTTCCAGAGGAGATGGCCTAGTCTTTATTCCTCTCAGAGAGAGCTGATAGTGGCAGCGGAGGAGCTGGTGCCGGTGCCGTTGGTTGCCCACTGCCGAGTTCTTCTTCGGTCATATATACATATATATACATATATACAAATTTAATCCTATATATAACCTGTTCTGTTAATAAGCCTAATATGGAAATAAATTAATTATTTTTGTGATATAATATAGGATTAAATTTGTAATCTCACAATACCTCAAGGGAGGTTCACTAATGTTGATAGTTCAATCATAGTGTATGGCATATTAAGCGGTGGATATTTCAAAAACTGAAGAAATATATGTGGATATTTCAGTCATAGTATATGGCATATTAAGCAGTATGAGTAAGTATGAACTGGAAATATATATGGATATTTCAGTCAAGTATATGGCATATTAAGCAGTATGATTTAAGTATGAATTGGACGTCAACATTCTAAATTCATAAGTTATGAAGATCACCTGCAACACAAGTTTCTTCAAGTTAGGAGCCGCCTTAATTGAAGGTAATCTAAGTCTTCCATCACAACTCCTCCACTCGCCAACCAATACCAACTTTTTGAGGTTAGTTAACTTATAAGACACATCAAAGTCTGCGATTTCCTGAAAAGTCACACCAAGAATAAGGCAAGTGAGCTAGATAATTGACAATTAAAAAAGAGACAAACAAAAATCTACATGCAAACCTCAGAATCTGAGGTATCTAACGAAAGAATCTCCAACTGAGAAAGGCAGCAAGCAAACAGTGCAAAAACACCAGCCAAGGATCTTGAAATCCGCCAATCAATATTTAAATCAACAAGCATAGGGACATTCTCAAGAAGGAAGCTGATCTTCCCTCCCATAACTGTTAAAGAAACTAGGTTTACGTTGCGAATTTCAATGGATTTTATTCTCCAACAGTGGCATATCTCCAGCTGCTTCAACGCAAGTGATGGGCCAACAACTTTTAAATTAATCAGATCCTCGGAAAAATGAACACCCATCCGTTCGAGAACTGGACAGCTGGACAAGAAATACTCCAGAACTTCTCCACTCACATTTACATGCTTCAAAAAAATTGCTTTGAGCGCATTAAATCCAACACCCTGTGCAAAAACATCAGTCAAGGATCTCGAAATCCGCCCATCAATATTTAAATCAACAAGCATAGGGACATTCTCAAGAAGGAAGCTGATCTTCCCTCCTACCAAAACTGTAAAAGAAACTAGGTTTACGTTCCGGATTTCAATGGATTTTATTCTCCGACAGTGGCATATCTCCAGCTGCTTCAACACAAGTGATGGGCCAACAACTTTTAAATTAACCAGATGCTTGGAAAAATGAACACCCATCTGTTCGAGAACTGGACAGCTGGACAAGAAATACTCCAGAACTTCTCCACTCACATTTACATTCTTCAAAAAAAGTGCTTTGAGCGTATTAAATCCAACAAATGTAGAAGGACGCATGCCACAGAAATTTGAAGAAGTGCCTTTACTCTGGTGCAATAATTTTAGCAATCGGTATGAAAAAATATAAGGCTTCTTGTCATGGTGTAAAACACCTTTCAGGTCCAACTCAAGCCTCTGAATTCTCTTTGATAATGCAAACTTGAGCCACTTATTAACATCACTTTCCGAATCTTTACCTAAATCAAAACGAACACAGAATTCTTCAATAGTTGAACCACTATACAATTGCACAACACGATTCACCCAATTGACATATCTCAGCCTTTTTGTCTCGTAATTTTTGAGCCCATAAATGTATGTTTCTTTGTCATCATATAATTCTTTGTAATCAAAGTCAAGACGAGTGTGATACGTCCAAAGATACGTCCATCGACTTGATAGGACACTAATAACTGTTGCTTCCTTGATGGTCAAAAAAGAGAGTATGAGAACAAGAATGTCATCTGGCAACTGACTGATCAGGTCCTCTAAATAATGGTCAACCTTAATTGTCACACAATTTGTACAACAGAAAAAAAAAAAAAAAAAGTTAGTTGCAGAATCACCCAATAAATTTACTTCAGAATTACAAATTGATAAAAAATTGTGTATAGACATTATTTAAGCAGATATCATGAATCTACATCAACTTCCATCATTTTAAACCTTTGCTGTTTGAGAAAAATACAGTAAAAATTATAGAGTTCACATAGGAAGTAGTTTAGAGTTTAAAATTCACCTTTTGTTTATCGTTTTCAAGAGCACGTTGGACCCCTTCCGTCATTGAATTTGATGATGCCTTTTGCCCCTTTCAATTTGCAATTCAAATACAAGCAGTCAAAAAAGGGAAAGGTTAGAACATCATACAAAATAAGCAGAAACATAGCACATAAGAATCATTTGAATGCTTTCAGTTCTGAAAATCGATCCTAGTTAAAAACACAGCCAAGTCTTATCCCAAATCTTATTCAATCCAAGATTTTGGGTAACAATATAATTTATAGCTAATTATCCATTCTATTTAAATCTATGTATGGAATTTATAGTACTCACTCAATCTGCAACATCTCATCCATAGCATGATCATGGAGACAAAATTGGACACGAGAAGCTACAAATACAGTGATATGATTTTTATTTTTTGAAAATAGGATATACAGATACAGTCTATAACAAGGAACATGGTATGCGTGTACTACAAAACATTTTCTTTTAAAAAATAATAACAGAGCTGTAGATTATATTGAATAGACAAAAACTTAAACTAGACTAAATATGATACATCCCGTTCTTCTCTTAACGTAATCTAAACATTTGGAATCTTTTTAAAGCTGTCTCCAGCAATTATACAAAGATATTCCATTTAGAAAATTTATATTTTGATGTTCAATCAAAGTATCTAAAATGTATTGAATACATAGTTCAAATAATGTATATATATATATATATATATATACTCTCAAATTATGATTAGGAAGTTTCGGGCAGGTGTCCACGAGTGCCAAAGGAGTATTGATATGTCATGAAGATATGAAATCGATGCATAACCATATAGCAAGTATACATGCTTCATTAACCAATTTTGTGAATTCTTGTCGCTGCCACTTTTTAAAATACTAATATATGATATTATATTAGATATTAATCTTGTTTTGCTTTAAATTTTCTCATGATCTCTCCTGATCAATGGAGGGTCAAACCTAAACACCAGAAAGTGAACTGCTAGAACAGCTAATGACTTCAATTCCATGTAAAAACGACGTTGAAAAAGGCTTTGTTTTGAGTTGTGGAACATTCTAAATTTCATATGATTAGTGTTTTGAAGTCGCAGACACAAGAATGGGCCAGACATTGTGTATTAAAAAATACTACCTCCGTCCCAAATTAGATGTCCTATTTAAGGAACCGTGACTCACAATGGGAAACGGTTCCCCAAACCGGACATCTTTTTTGGGATAGAGGGAATAATAATAAAAAATCAAAAACCTTTTGTGACTATACCAGCCTTGTATGCACCAAAAAAGCAAAATCACATAGCAGAACTCAGCCAAAACAAAGTCTTTAATGGATGGGTATCAGAAATTAACAAACATGAAAGCGAGTGATTCAATCAGACTAAATCAAATACCATATGATGCTTAGAAAAGGAAGAATAAAAAAATAAAAAATAAAAACCAACTACTAATCAAATATATACCTATATATATATAAACAAAAAGAATTAAAATATAGACAAAGAGTAGAGGAGTTTGAAGAGAACAGACCGGTGGTGGGTCCATGCTGCCACTGGCGGAAGAGGGAGAGAGCTGGGGAAGAGGAGAATTTAGGGCTATGATGAATAGGAATCAAAAGTTTCTACCTATATGTATTTTATATGAAAATTTTTATGCATGTCCCTTAAATTTTGTGTTTCTAAAATTATTTCTTTTACTCTTTAAATTTCTTAAATTTTCTTAAAGAAAAAGTAGAATTTTTCTTCCTCAATTAAAACTCTTAACTTTTCCCTTTTATATTATTTTCATTTTTCTTTTCCTTTTTTCTATTTCTACTTCTTAAAATTCTTCTATTTCTATTTCACTATTTATTTAATAATATAAAAAAATATTTATTAATTGATATAAAATGAATTAAAATAAAAGATTTCTATAAATAAAATGAATTTTAATAAAATAATTAACCAAATAATAACATAAATTACCAATTAAAATTAAATAGGTAATTATTTAATAAAATAATTTACCAAATAATTCAGTATTTGAGTGTTTCAGTATTTATTTATTAATATAAAAAATATATATTAATTGATATACAAAATGAATTAAAATAAAAAAGTTTCTACAAAAAAAATGAATTATAATAAAAAAAAATTAAAAATTAAAATTAAATAGGTAATTAAAATAAAATAGGTAATTATTTAATAAAATAATTTACCAATTTTCAGTATTTCAGTATTATTTTATTAATATAAAAAAATATTTATTAATTGATATAAAATGAATTAAAATAAAATAGTTTATATAGGTAAAATGAATTTTAATAAAATAATTTAATAAATAATAAATTAAATTACCAAGTAATAATAAAATTAAACTTATCAAAAAAAAAATTACCAATTAAAATTAAATAGCTAATTGTTCAATCAAGATGTTAGAAATCATTAAATAAATAACCAATTAAAATTAAATAGGTAATTTTCTAATTGAAATTCAATCAAGATGTATAAAATGAATTTTAATAAAATAATTTACCAAATAATAAAATAAATTACTAATTAAAATTAAATAGGTAATTGTTTAATTAAGTTAAAAGTTATGTATAATTATTTAATAAAATAGTTTACCAAAATATAAAATGAATTAAAATAAAAGAGTTTCTATAAATAAAATGAATTTTCATAAAAGAATTTAATAAATAAAAAAATTAAATATCAATTAAAATTAAATAGGTAATTGTATAATCAAGAAGTTTGAAATCCTTAAATAAATTACCGATTAAAATTAAATAGGTAATTTTTAAAATGAAATTCAATCAAGATGTTTCAAATCATTTATAGATAAAATAATAAAATAATTTATGAAATAATAAAATAATTACCAATTAAAATAAATCATATTATGCTCAGAATTCTTCAAGGTTAAAACAATTTTATTTTTTCTATTTTATTCTCTATACTATTATTAAACAGTATTTCAATGTTTCAGTATTTATTTATTAATTGAAATAAAATAAAATAAAATAAAACATATAATTATTTAATAAAATAATTTACTAAATAATAAAATAAATTACCAAATTAAAATTAAATAGTAAATGGTTTAATTGCAATTCAATCAAGATATTTCAAATCATTAATAGATAAAATAATAAAATAATTTACCAAAAAATAAGTAGCCAATTTCAAATCATTTATAGATTAAATAATAAAATAATATACCAAAAATAAAATAAGTTACCAATTAAAATAAACAAGTTAAAAGTTACGTATTAAAATAAAATAAGTAATTATATAATAAAATAATTTACCAAATAATAAAATAAATTACCAATTAAAATTAAATAAAAAATTGTTTAATTGAAATTCAATCAAGATGTTAATTTCAAATCATTAAATAAATTACCAATTGAAATTAAATAGGCAATTGTTTTATTGAAATTCAATCAAATTGTTTCAAATCATTTATATATAAAATAATAAAATAATTTACCAATTAAAATAAATCGTATAAGTTACCAAATAAAATAAACAAGTTACGTATTAAAATAAAATAGTTAATTATTTAATAAAATAATTTACAAATAATAAAATAAGTTACCAATTAAAATTAAATAGAAAATTGTTTGCTTGAAATTCAATCAAGATGTTTGCCAAATAATAAAATAATTTACCAATTAAGATAAATTTTATAAGTTACCAATTAAAATAAATCATATTATGCTCGGAATTCTTCAAGATTAAAACAACTTTACTTTTTCTATTTTATTCTATTTCTAACTATTTCCTAAATATAAATATAGATCTAAATCTTTCCAAATAATAAAATAAATTACCAATTAAAATTAGGTAATTGTTTAATTGAAAGATTTATTTAATGATTTGAAACATTTTGATAACATAAATGACTATGAGTAAATTACCAATCAAGATGTTTTAAATCATTTATAGATAAAATGATAAAATAATTACCAAATAATAAAATAAGTTACCAATTAAAATAAATTATTTGTTTTATTACAGGTACATTATTCTTTAAATTGCATTAATCAAGTTATTTTTTTAAATTATATTTTATTCTTTGAATTGCATTAATCATGTTATTTTATTTTATTTTTTATTTTTTTGTTTGTTTAATTATGTCATGTCACTATTTACTTTTTTAAAAATATCTTAATTTATTTTGATTGATATGTTTCGCAATATGGTTCAAAATTATTTGTTTTGTTACATGTACATTATTCTTTGAATTGTATTAATCATGTTGATTTATTATTATTTTTTATTTTTTGTGTTTGTTTAGTTATATTTTATTTTTTGGATTGCATTAATCATGTTAATTTATTTTTATTTTTTATCTTTCTCTGTTTGTTTAATTATGTCATGAAAGTATTTATTTTGATAATTTTTATATTAATTTTTTAATTAAGATTATAAAATAACTTTTCATGTTTTATTAGTATATAAAAAATCCTAACTCAGGCCCTGCATGTTGACTAACAATTTTCAATTTTTAATAGCATAAAATAATAAATAAAAAAAGCATGTTTGTTAATATTTGATAATTGTTATGGAGTGCTTTCAGTGCTTTGTGGTCCAAGTTATGCTTATTAAATAAATGAATTATTATAATTTCTTTTAATTTTTATAATACATTAAATTTATTACAAATTGATAATAAATTGCAAAGAGACATTATTTAAGCAGATATCATGAATCTACATCAACTTCCATCATTTTAAACCTTTGCTGTTTGAGAAAAATACAGTAAAAATTATAGAGTTCATATAGGAAATAGTTTAGAGTTTAAAATTCACCTTTTGTTTATCACTTTCAAGAGCACGTTGGACCCCTTCCGTCATTGAATTTGATGATGCCTTTTGCCCCTTTCAATTTGAAATTCAAACACAAGCGGTCAAAAAAGGGAAAGGTT